AGAGAACTACATGTTTATCTTCTGCACCAGAAGTTTCTAGTTGTCTTATGTACTGGATGTGAACTCTAGCCCCAAATTCAGCTTAAGTTCCTGAAAAGGACTCACAAAATATTGTTGTTAAAACACTCAATTTACTTCTGGCCAACAAATATTTTCTTAGAATTAATGAGAGAAGGAGGGGAAAAAAATAAGTGACTTTTTGGATTATTAGAAGTACCATTTCCATATAGTTAGGCCTCCCTACACATGCTCCAGATCGCTAATTCTTAAAAAAAAAAAAAGCCCTCTTTAGGAAGGGGCCAAGTTTGAAAAGCTCTCTCACTGGATTACTATGACAAGCCCTTTCTTTTCTGCTAAAAGACTCCACAAGAGAAGTGCATCATCTAGAATGAAGGATTTTCCACACCACTCTTATAGTGCCTTCTTAAGTGACGGATTGACCACAACTACAAACATTAGATATTATATCCTTCCTTCAGCTTACCTTGCTAAGGTATTTTTATTTCTATTGTGAATCCTTACTGTTCAACCTATTTACTGCAAATAACCAAATTGGAAAGTGATTTTGCAATTAAAACAGTATATTGGGAGACTGAGACCAACACATATTTTACTAGTGAGCTGAAAAGATCTGAGCCCTGGTCTTCAGAAGTAAGAGACCAGGGCATTGCACACAACATACCTAAATTGGCCTTTCAAATTAGAATTTCTCTACACTACTCCAGTTCTGACTCAGCTTCATTTGTAAAAATAAACACTGTTGACATGTCTCAAGAGCAGAAAAACATATTGAGAACACCAATGATTTCAGATACCAGCTCCCACCCCCTTTTCCCTATCATCCCCCATGCTATGACTAATTCTATTTTTGAGTATGAAACAAAGTGCATCCCTCCCCTGCATTAAGGTTTCACTGGAAAATCTTGTGGAAAATTCTTTTTCACCACTCAGACATTACCTTTGTCAGCTTCTCCTGCAGCTCCTGGATTTTGGCCTGCTGCTCCGTATTGATCTACAGTTAAACAGAAAGGGGTGGGGGGCGGGGGAGAAGGATAAAATCAGAAAGGAAAAAAATCCTCTGTACTTACGATATTGTATTTATTTTAATTCAATTCTCACAATCTTTGTTTCTCCCTATAAATTCCAACCCACAAAAAATGTCCCTGTGCAAATCTGCTCCCATTTTACTAACTTCGGGTTGTTTTCATGTTTTGGTCACCAAGCAGACTTCCCAGCGTGACAGAGCAATATTCAGAATTCTTTGTTTTTCATTTGCTATTCTTTATTCATAAAGCAAATTGTTATGTATTAATAACTCCAAACACAAAGACCATGGCTTGGTCTTTGTCTAGCTTCTGAACACAATAATTGCGAACAGGATGGTCAGACAGAGCTTTAAATCAAATCAGAAAGAACAGTGAATCCCACAAAGAAAAACACAGACACAGAAAAGAAGAAAAAAAAAAAAAAGATTCCAGGCTGTGCATGCCACTGACTAGCCAAAGTCACTCTTGGTTTCTGTCCATAATATGAAAGACTCAGGAAGCAGGATCTAGGACATTAAAATAGCATACCTTCTCTAACTTGGAATACAACTCTCCTGCTTCAGTTTTTCCTTGATCTTTAGCCTGTAACTTAAATATAAAATACATAACTCTCAGGAAGAGTTTTAGTATGCTGCATTTCTATTCAATCACAACCCCATGCAGTCATAACACAAGCAGTTACACAGAGTACAAACTACGATGTTTTGAGTGTACAACTGAGACCCATTTTGCATTAGTTGTACAAGCTACATTCATCTTCAGAAGACTCACACACAAACTCATGCGTATGTAAAATAGCACTAGAAATTCAAGCACAAGTTCCCTCTCCCATGAAGCCTAAACTACCTTTTGCAGTTTGTTGTGACTTTCAGTAGCTTTACGTTTGAATTCTTCAGCTGCCAATCGGGACTCTCTCAACTCCGATTCATAAAGATCACTACGCCTGCGAGCCGAAATAAGATCCTCTTCTAACTGATTCATCATCAACCTCATTTCTTCTACTTGAGCTTGATACTCCTGCGGTTGTGGCAGAAGGGAAGGAAAGACTATTACATTTTAGAGGCAACAGGAGAAACACATGGAGCAGCAGATCCCAGAAAACCGACTGCAGGCAAGAGGCACAAAGAAAGAACACGTAGAACGGCAAAGTACAAAATAAAATTATGACAGCTGAAAAAAAAAAAAAAAAACACCCACACATCCACAGTATTCTGGTTTAAGTTTTGCCATTTTCAAGCCAAAACCTCCTAAAAGACATATAATATAGTCGAGGTATTGATTTTTGAGAGTGGCTTCACTGCAGAAACACACACATACGTCTAGACACAAATGATAAAAGTTACTTACATGTTCTTATTTCTAAAACATAAATATGCTTTTGAGTTGATGCCTCTACTAAATTCCCAGTTGCTTCCTCAATATTTATTTTCTCAGGCTGATAACATGAGAATTACCACAGATCTGCAAAGTTGGGGTAAAAGGAAAGAAGGAGAAGCAGGGGAGAGCATACTGTGGCTTTTAGATATGGGTTATTTTCTCTTGAAAGAGTTAAAAAAAAGAACATAGTACTCTGTATGGAAGACAGCATAGTATCAAATATTAACCTAGAAGAACTGTTTAAAAAGCATGTTTCCTATAGAAAATACTTGTCTACATAGGCAGGAACGATGATTCCCCATCCAGGACATTAGAAAGATAAGAGATTTGGATGGGGAAGGTGGTGGGGGGAGGGAAGAATATTTGAACTGAAGATATCAATGAGACTGGTTATTCAAGCTGAGACTGACTCATGAGATTGCTTCTCTTACCTTCATTAGAAAACAGAATTAAATTATGATTATTTAGCATTTAATAACCCCTGTAAGTATACCTTCTTTTTATAAAATTGCTTTAAACAGAAAAAAAGTATTTTTTATGAAGCAAAGAACAAGTAGAAAACATGCACATCAAGGGCTGAGAGAAAACATTCAGGATAGGGAGGGATAGCAGGTCCACCTTTCTCACTGTTTTAATATCTTCTGATACTCCTGACTAGCCCCATATTTAAAAGCATATTTAAAAGCAAACCCAAGTTAGTCATCACTCCTTCCAGACAGATAGCTGCCCTTTGACAAGCGATCCCATAAATACTGGGCCTAATGTCATCCAGTGGTTCTCTAGCAACATGAAGAGCTTATGCTGCTTTTTAAAGATGATGAACCTTTAACAGACTGCTTTCCTATCCATTACTGAGGATAAGGCAGAATGGTTCTTTGGTTCATAATCCCCAAAATGATTCTCCAATTCATAGGGCAGACGGGGTCCCTCCCTCTTCCCAGCCAGTCTCTCTATGGATGATCTTATTTTCATGCTGGAAGGAACCACAGCCTTTTATATCAAGTCAGCACACATTAACTCAAATAATCCTTTCATACAATCATATCTGCCAAGAAGGAGGCAGAACAGTTTGAAGGAGTATACGTTCTGCTCAGAAATCATCATTTGTGAAGACTCTTCCACAACACTTAACTCTTATATCAGCAAACACTTGACCAAAGAATTACAAGCATAACTTCAGATGCTAGGGTGAAAATGAGTATTTTGGAGAGGGAGGAGAAAGGGAAGGGAGGAAAGAGAGAAGAAGAGGCGATAATTCATAATAGTTCAGTTTTTCTTGTTTCTTCACGTTTTCAAGACTATCTTTGAACAAATCTCACGATTGGGTCAGAACAACAGGCCACATCACTCAAGCAGAAAAAGAATACTCCCTCTTGCATATTAAACTTAATACACCCCAAATGGGTAAATGAATACAGATAATCAGAAGCAAAGGTTAGTCAAAGTTTAAAAACTATCAAGATGTGCTTAAGCACAGACATATTAATGGCTTGGTCAGGGCATATACCTAAAGCAAGCCACATCAGGGTAGCTGTGTATTATATTTACAAATATAAATTATATATATATAAATTACATTTAAAAATATAAAGATCCTGACTTGCTGCAAATAAATCCATTCATATAGTCTTCACCAACTGCTAACCAGAACCCATGTTAAGAAAAACAAAAGTTAAAATAAAACCCCAAAAAACTCTGCTACTCAAGTACCCCCACACAAACTTGCAGTCCTACCCTGAAAAATATCAAATGCCTAATTATTGTTTTTGAACTCTGATTTGCAGTTAACTTAACGGATTCTCTCTCAAGCTTTGGCTATTCAACAGCAAAACTCTAAGGGACACTTCCATCTCACCTCCCGCCGCCCTCTGCCATAAAAAATAATGATCCAAGTCTTTTCTGGCTAAGATCCACTTGCTGGTATGAGTCAGCACAACTGTCTCGGCATGTTGTATGCAGCCTTCTAGCACATGGATTTCAGACGCACCAGAAGACCCCCAGATATGAAAATCTACGGTATATTCCAGATCCATTTGCTGACCCAAGCAGCACTTTAATAGCATGAATCTTAACCAGAGTTAAAAGATCCCGATACAAAATATTTATCCTAGTGCACTTTGATTAAAAATTACTTGCACTACTTTTCCTCTGTCGAATGAGTCTGTACATTTTAAGAATCTATTCATATTTATTGTCACGAAAAGTGTTCCACACTTCAGTATTTAAAGCAACTTTGCTAATGAAGCATTAGAACCCAGAGTAACGAGCTTTAGATCCCTTATATGACATAAAAAGCCATCCAAAAGAATGCTGTAGATGTCCATGGAGGCCTGCTACATCCAGAGGGTTGTCTTTGCATTTCATTACTTTTTACATAAGAGCTGCTCACGTCTTGAGAATTACCACCAAGGTTTCTGGGCTTCCTTTTCTCAAACACTATGAGACTAGTCAGTCAATGTTTGTAAAGTGCTTTGAAGATGAAAAACAGCAGATAATTGCAAAGAATTGTTTGAACTCCATAGCAAATTACAATTTATTGTTCTCGATATAACATGTTGCTATTAATCCACAAAACTGAATGGATTCTGTCTTGCAGACTATTTTTAATCCTAGAAGCGTCCACATTTGTCATCATACTTTCATTTAATTTTTACATTTTTTTCCTTATGAACAACTCTATGGATTAATGAATTCTCAACATACTTCTGGTGGGA